TTTTTTTTCCATAATTGACGTGTTCTGATGTATCCCCTCTTCTTGCTTTGAACTCAGCTGCGTTCTTCATGCTTGCGATCACCCATAGCTATCCACAAAATTCTGCACTCATTATCTTTTCCATCTAATTCTGAAACTCATTAGTGACACAATACGACCAATTTCATGAATTAATTACAGACATGTTGCTGAAGCGTGTTCGTTTTTCAAGTCGAATGCCCAGCTGCTGGGCTCGTCCTCACATTCCAATTGCATCGAACGAAAACGAACCGAGCCGTGCAGGACATGCTTTCGAGTGCGAAGAAGGTAAATATATTGTTTACCCTTCTAAGACTTATTTCAATTCTTCTATTTTTAAATTTTGAAGAATACATCCACCAAATTGGGCTCATTCCACTGCATCGCGACATGTGCTGTGTGATTGTTCACCAGATAGACCTGAAACTGCTCATGAACTCATGCCCAGAAGCAGAAGGTACGCTTTGAATACCTTTTAGCTAAACATTTGCCTCTCTTGGACTGTGATTTTGCTGTTATTTCTGTGTATGCAGGCTATTTAGGTCATCTGATGGGCAACAAATTCGTGCAAGGGAGTTGTCCATTGTTGGTCTCCCAATTTATGCCACAAAACGCACTATGGTAGAAGCTGTTGTGGATGCTGTCGCCGGTATTGCCCGAGGCGAGAAACCAAATGCACTGTTCACAGCGTTAGCCGCTTTAGTTTCGGATGGGCTTAAGGAAGACACTTCGTCTTGGAATATGATTCGCACTGTTACTGCACCTGGTTCGTTCTTGTAAATTTTCCCTAAATTTAATTTCTTTTGAGTGTAATTTTTGGATACTCCAAAAGTTATCGATTGAAGGTATCTCTAAGGTACAGTTCTCAATCCTCAGTACACTAGCTTTTATGTTTGCTTAAAGGTCCCGCAACGAAAGACGTATACTCAATTGTGAACAAACTGGATTCAAACGAGAAGTCCGAAAATTCTCGCGTAGAGCAGTTTTTCGAAGAGCTTTTTAGGTAAGTTTCGATTAATATTTGAAGAGACCTTGACTAGTCCACTTCAATTTAACTTGCCGCTCAATACTCCTTTCGCTACTTGGAATAGAGCTATAGTAGTCTGCAATGAGTTTTTTCTCGCGAAGAATGGGAGAAATACCACGTAACAAACACACTAAACTACAAAGTGTCCTTGAATAATCAATTAGTAATTTGATTAGTTTACACTATAAAGTGTGCTTGAATACTTTTTCTTTTTTCAGAGAAAATTCTTTGGATTGTTGGCTATGTTATGTTGTATTGAAAGAAAATGTGCTTCGCCGTCTGTACACTCCCGGAAGTTTTTTACTGGACGCGCCAACGGCGTACAGGACGCTATTATGGCGATTAGTTGACGCACTTGCCATTATTCCAGGTTCTGAACCTTTTCTTTCATATTCGAGTGATTGTCCTGAATTGCTTTGTTCTTTCAGTGCTAGAATTCCGTGAATGCTCTCATCCGCATCAAACACAGTCTATGCTATGGAGTGGACCATGTAGACTACCGGCAGATTCCCGAGTTCCTAAAAGTTCCTCGGTACCGGCACGTCTATCAAATTCTAATCATACTCATCGGCGTTCACGGATACCATTGCCAAAAAGGTAATTTATTGCTACATGAAGAACCTTATTTGAAACACAATCGCACAATCCGTTATTGTATGCATGGATGGATGCTTGCTAGGAAAGAGTTGATGGGAGGAAGTCAGCATTTGGGGAAATTTATAAATGTTAAATATTCCACCTTTCTAGGTTACATGGCAGAAATTATTTTGACTCAGAACTCAATTAAAATCGAAGTGTGGAATTTTACTGGGAACTTTTCTTGTTTGATCAGCAGAATTCTAAAATTTCTCAGCACGACGAAATCGAGATTTATATAAGTTTTCGGCGTCTTGTTTCTCTGGTAGGCTACGTAGAAGGAAGATAACCAATTGTTTGGAAATTCAAAAAAATTAGGCCAGAGATATTAAAACAGTAGGATAATCTGCTTTTTATTCACAAAGTAAGTGGTGCGTGATATCATTATCAGGTGGGCACTTCCATACAGCATGTCTGACAGATAATGAGCACAAGTGACAAATTCATCATCGGAAACCCTACGCTTTACAATGACTGAGTGATTGAGGCGAAAAGAATGACGTAATAGATT